GTGGGCTTTTTAAAAGGTTTAGGAATCCATTCAGTAGGAATCTGATAACCATTAAATTTACTTCGCTGAGAAGTAAAATTATCAGTGTCTGGATCTTGTGGATCCAGATCTGGCTTGCATGGTCGAGGCTCAAATTGTTGTAGCTTTGATCTTTTCTTACGAGATAAATCTGGTAATTCAAGATCAAGGATGTTCTCCAATTAACATTCCTCACAAACATTGCAAACATCAAAGTAGACATGACCAGAGATAGGATCTTGAAACCATGAGACTGGAAGTCCTTCTTTGTCAAAATATTGGATAATATCCGTAGCTTTGTCTTAGTTTTTAGTTGATTCTTCTGCCTTGTTACAAAAAAAAAAGGGAAAATTTTTTGTTGGTCTAGTTATATCCTTTGTTGCGTCGTTTGTCAAAAAAAATCTGTCCGCAATTTTTTGTGTCTTGTTGCATCAATTCAGTCATGACTTTGTTGTTCAATTCTGTCTGTATTCTTTGTGTGTTGCTGTCCAAAGTATTCTGTCCGTGTAGTTCCTTGTGAAAAAAAAAGAAGGAGAAAAAACAAATCACGCGTGCGGCAGCCACCCTTGTCGCGAACGTTGAGTTGCAATCTGCTTGCAGGTATTGTGAGCATTGGTGCCATGCAAAATTCTGTCTTGAGCCTACCCAAACCTGTCTTGCTCACGTAGTGTCCCTTGGGCTGCAAGAAAGTCGAAAACTAGAGGCGGCTAGGGTTTTGTTGTTTCCTTCCAAATCTGTTCAAATGCATTGTGAGCCGTCCAAGTTGTGTTTATTAATTTTCTAAACTGAATTTTTGGTTAAAACTTGTTGGGTTGGGACAGATTTTTAAGAGTTTCTTGAAGATCTTGGTTACCACCTAGAAGTTCTTGAAATTCTTGGAAGTAGCTTGCACGATCTTGGAGTTTGGGCTATTCGATTGTGTGAGTTGCGGGTGATGTGAGACGGATCTAGACGAACACCAAGTTGAGTGGATTTGCGGAACTTTGACCCTTCTAGAATCACAAGTCACAAACTAAGGAGATTCCTTAACCCAAGACTAGCAAGTTTAGTGAACCAAAAGTATAGTTAGAAGAACGCCACAATCAAGGAGACTACTTGATTGATATGTTCGATGAACAACTTGAGATTAATTCTCAAGTATTCAAAGGAAATTCTTTTGAGACAGAGAGAGTGAATAAACTCACGTATATTTTATAAAAATCTGAATTGTCTCCTTAATGAATGAAAAGCTAGGCTATATATAGCCTTACAAGACTCAACCCTAGAATGTCCAATGGACGACCTTGCCCTTCATTAAGGGTGAAAATATCTAACAACTAATTGACTAAAATTAAGACCCTGAATTCGGCCAAGTGAGGTGAAATTGACCGAAGTTATTAATGCTAACACACAGCTAATAATGGTAATAATAAAAAAAAACCCTAATTAACAAGCTAGTATTCTGCGAACTAGTCTTCACTTGGTTCTTCCATTTGAAGCAAAGTGTATAGAGTAGTTTCTCCATTATGTAATCCTTCAATGGTCCTCAAGTCATCACCAACTCGTTCTTGAATCGTGCAAACAAGAGCTTGAAGTGATTCTTGAATTCTTCTAGCACGCGCTCTTGTAATTGGACCACTGGGTATTTGCAAGACCTGAGCACTAGAAGTTTGAGCAGTCTTGAGCCCCTCCTCATTAGTCGCCTCCTCTTGAAGGCGATTTGTCCCCAAATGAAACTCATCGCCTGCATGAAAAGGACTCAAGTCAGATACATTAAAAGTAGCATGTACTCCATACTCACTTGGAAGTTCAAGCTTGTAGGCATTGTCATTTATACGCTCCAGGACTTGGCATGGCCCATCTCCCATTGGAAGTAGCTTACTACGCCTTTTGACTGGGAACCTCTCTTTGCGCATGTGTATCCATACCCAATCGCCAGGCTCAAAGACCATCTTGCGGCGCCCCTTGTTGGCACTTTGGATGTATTGAAGTGTACGCTTCTCGATGTTGGCTCGCACCTTAGTGTGTAACTCACGCACATAGGCAGCTTTGTTCTTACCATCCAAGTTAACTCTCTCATTAACAGGTAAAGGAGTTAAATCCAAAGGTGTGAGAGGGTTGAAGCCATACACAATTTCAAAAGGTGAATAATGTGTAGCAGAATGAACGATGCGATTGTATGCAAATTCCACATGTGGTAAGCAATCTTCCCAAGATTTAATGTTCTTTTTAATAATTGCGCGCAATAGGGTGGATAAAGTCCTATTAACCACTTCGATTTGACCATCAGTTTGTGGGTGACTAGAAGTAGAAAATAGTAATTTAGTACCTAGTTTACACCACAGGGTTTTCCAAAAATAGCTAAGGAATTTGGCGTCCCTATCAGAAACAATAGTGCGTGGCATGCCATGTAATCGAACTACCTCTCGAAAGAATAAATCTGCAACATGCTTGGCATCATCTATTTTAAGACAAGGAATAAAATGGGCCATTTTGGAGAAGCGGTCGACTACCACATAGATTGAATCATGTCCTCTTCTAGTCCTAGGTAGTCCAAGCACAAAATCCATTGACAGATCAACCCATGGCTCATATGGAATTGGCAAAGGTGTATAGAGTCCATAAGGGTGTACCTTTGATTTCGCTTGGTGACAAGTTACGCACCTTTCAATGTGTTGTTCCACGTCACTCCGCATGCGTGGCCAGAAGAAATGTTCTTGGAGGATCATTAAGGTCTTGGTAATGCCGAAGTGTCCCATTAGGCCTCCTCCATGAGATTCTCTTACGAGCAGTGTGCGCATGGAGCTCTTGGGAATGCAAAGCTTGTCCTTGTAGTATAAGAACCCCTGAGAGATGAAATAATGCTCACGAGAGTGTCGTGGCAAGGAGACAAAAATCTCACCAAAATCTGAGTCAGTGGCATAAAGATCTTTAAGAAATTCAAAACCAAGCAACTTAGCATCTAATATAGTGATAAGTGCATACCTTCGCGAGAGTGCATCAGCCACAACATTCGTCTTACCTGTCTTGTATTTGATCACAAAGGTAAAACTGTCAATGAAGGTAATCCATCTCGCATGTCGCTTACTCAACTTGTCTTGGGACTTGATATGCTTGAGCGACTCATGATCTGTGTGCAAGACAAACTCACGAGGGCGAAGGTAATGTTGCCATGTTTGTAGAGCTCGCACTAAGGCCATTAGTTCCTTATCATAGGTTGAGTAGTTTAGAGCAGCTCCATTCAACTTCTCGCTAAAGTAGGCAACCGGGCGACCCTCTTGGAGTAAAACAGCTCCAATACCTATACCAGAAGCATCACACTCTACTTCGAAAGCTTTGTCAAAATTAGGTAAACTAAGAACAGGTGCATGTGTGAGCTTGTGTTTAAGTAATTGAAAAGACTTAGCTCGTTCCTCTCCCCAATGAAATTGCACATCTTTCTTGACAATTGACGTAAGTGGGGCAGCAATTGTGCTAAAATCCTTGACAAAACGCCTATAGAAGCTTGCCAAGCCATGGAAACTTCTCACCTCACTTACATTGGTAGGGGTTGGCCATTCACTAATAGCCTTCACCTTTTCTTGATCAACATGAATTCCCTGCTCACTTACAACGTAGCCTAGGAAAACCAATTGATTTGTGCCAAAGGTACACTTCTTAAGGTTAGCGTAGAGGCTCGCCTTGCGAAGTGCATCTAGGACCATTTGTAAATGCACAACATGCTCATCTAGACTCCTACTATAGATCAAAATGTCATCAAAGTAAACGACCACAAATTTACCAATGAAAGAACGTAAAACATGATTCATTAGTCTCATAAAAGTACTTGGGGCATTGGTTAGCCCAAAAGGCATGACCAACCACTCATAAAGACCATGTTTTGTTTTAAATGCAGTTTCCATTCATCTCCTTCTTTCATGCGAATTTGATGGTAACCACTTTTCAAATCAATCTTAGTAAAAATGATAGCACCATGTAATTCATCAAGCATGTCATCCAAACGAGGTATGGGATGGCGGTACTTTACCGTGATGGCATTAATTGCCCTACAATCAGTGCACATTCTCCATCCTCCATCTTTCTTTGGAACAAGTAGAACTGGTACAGCACAAGGGCTTAGACTCTCTTGAATCCAACCCTTACTAAGCAATTCCACCACTTATCGTTGTTGCTCCTTGGTTTCCTCAGGATTGGTCCTATACGGTGCCTTGTTTGGAAGGGAAGATCCAGGAATGAAATCAATTTGATGTTCAATTCCCCTTAATGGAGGCAAACCATTAGGTATATCCTCAGGAAAGACGTCTTGATACTCCTGTAAGAGGTTAGTAATAACACTAGGCAAAGAAGCATCAAGAGCATTAGTGAGTAAGGATTCCTTGCCAAATAAAATAAATAAAACCTGATTAGAATGCAAGGCCTTTCTCACATCTTTTACCTTGGCAAGCATGCTGGGTTTTCTCTCCTGTGTGGGCTCGAAGGCCGAATGAGAGTGATCCAACTTGCTTGAAGAAGGGTCAGCCAACACTAATTTCTTAGCTTTGGCGTTGTCCTTCTTGGTGGTAGCATGCAAGTCATACTCTTTTTGTAGACTAACTTGATCTTCATGCACTTGTTGAGGTGTAAGAGGTGCAAGTGTAATCTTTTTACAATTATGCATGAAAGAGTATTTGTTCAAGAAACCATCAAAAGTGACTCTTTTGTCAAATTGCCAAGGACGCCCTAAGAGTATATGTGCAGCTTGCATTGGTACTACATCACACATAACATCATCTTCATACCTACCAATGCGAAAAGTAACCAAAACTTGTTTATGAACACGTACCTCTCCACTGTTGTTTAACCACTGAAGCTTGTAGGGACGGGGGTGCTCACTAGTTGGCAAGTTTAGTTTCTCCACCATCAATGCACTAGCAACATTAGTGCAACTTCCGGGGGTCAATCACCAAGCTGCATACCTTTTGGTCACATGGCACCTAGTGTAAAAGATGTTGTCACGTTGAAGCTCATCTTTTACTAGCTTGAGTAGCTAGTGCCCTTCTTGCTACCAATCCAACTTTGTCTTGAGTTGGAACTTCCTCTATCTCATCTTCCTCTTCAACCAAGGGAGGCATGTCTTTGTAATCCTCCTCTTCATCATCAGTGACAATGTCTCCATTTGGTAGGACAAGCATGGCCCTTGGTTTGGACATTGGCTTGCAATATGCCCAACTCCTTGACACCTCCAACATTTGGTGTCACGATTCCTAGGTTTTGAAGTTTCAATTGTTGGCTTTGAAACAACCTTGGAGTCGGTTTTGGTAAAAGGTGCCGTGAGCTTGACCCTTGATCTTGCTTCGGCTTTGGGCGGGTTCCAAGCGTTCGGACCTCTCTCCTCCCTCCTGGGCTGGAATGGTCGAGTAAATGGTTGTGATTAGTGTTATAATTTCTGGTGGTACCCCTCCGCTTGAGCCTTTGCTCAATCTTGATAGCCTTGTCCACCATATCGTCTATCTCCACATAGTATTGAAGCTCAAGTTGATCGGCTATTTCAACCCTTAGACCACTGAGAAATCTTGCCATTGTAGCCTCTCGATCTTCTTGAATATCAGCTCTCAACATGGAGATTTCCATGTCCTTTGTAGTAGTTCTCAACTGAGCGTTGACCTTGCGTCAAGGTTTGAAGTTTTTGGTACAAGTCTCTATGGTAGTGACTTGGTACAAATCGCTTCTTCATAAGTCTCTTGAGCTCAGTCCAAGTGGTTATAGGTGGTTCACCACACCTTCTCCTGCTGGTAGCCACTTGTTCCCACCAAACTATGGTATAGTCGGTGAATTCTACTATGGCAAGTCTCAATTTTTGTGCATCGGTGTAGTCATTACAATCGAATACTAGCTCTACCCGACTCTCCCATTCAAGGTATGTATCCGGATCGGATTTGCCTTGGAATGGAGGAATCTTCATCTTAATCCCTTTGATGCATCACCAATTGCTCTTGTGTTTCTCTCCGATCTCCCTTGCCCGTATGCCTCACGGTCCGAATCGGCATTGATACGTTCCTCGATCCACGGTCGAGACACGTAGCACGTTTGCCCAAGGATCTAGCGGGGATGTCCTACGCTTGGTTCGCGGAACCTTTACTCAAACGGACAACTCGATTTGATTGGAGGTGGTAGACGACACTCCGATGAAGGTGAATACTCCAGGGGAATAGGTCGGATGAACAATCAAGGACAGGACGCGAGATTGCTCAATAACCCTTGCCAAGCAAGTGAAAAGGCACGAATTCTTTATGAAAGAAAACGAATGCACTAAGAATTATATTAATCAAAAACTAGTTCTTAACCTTACAAAGCTAGCCTATTTATAGGCTAAGGAAAACAATAAAGAAACCCTAAGTGGTCGGCCATCTTAGTGTAAGGTGGGCCGGTCCATTCTACTAAGTAAGATACTCCAATAAGTGTCAAAGGCTAAGGCCCTACTCGGCCGAATCTCTTGGAAACCCACTTGAGTCGTCATGGGCTTGGATCAAGGTGTAATTGGCCCAGTGGTCTTTCTCTAAGCCCTCAATATCCTTGTGAACTCCATGATGGTCTTGGACGACTCTCACCAGGGCTTGGAGTGATTCTTTGAACAGCTTGGCCCGTGAACGTGTGACTGGGCCCAGTGGGACTCGGACTGGGTCATTGCGTGGGCCGAGGCTCGTGCACACATCAGTCCCCTCCTCTTGAGAAGGATTTGCCCTCAAATCTGGATCCTGCTCGTCAAGGAATGGGCTGAGGTCCCCAACGTTGAAGGTTGCACTGACATTGTATTCCCCAGGCAGCTCCAATTTGTAGGCATTGTCATTAACCCGTTGGAGTACCCGAAATGGTCCATCACCTCTTGGGGATAATTTGCTTTGACGTTGCTTGGGGAAACGCTCTTTTCTTAAGTGTAGCCACACCCAATCTCCAGGCTCAAAAATCATCTTGCGGCGGTGCTTGTTGGCTTGTTGGATGTATTGCTGCGTGCGCTTCTCGATGTTTGCTCGCACAGCTTCATGTAACCTGCGTACAAAACCAGCTTTCTTTTCCCCATCTAAGCTTGTTTGCTCAGAGGAAGGTAAGGGCACCAGATCAAGGGGGGTGAGGGGGTTGAAGCCATAAACAATCTCAAAGGGAGAATATTGAGTTGCACTATGCACAGTGCGATTGTAGGCAAATTCAACATGAGGTAAGCACTCTTCCCAAGACTTAAGATTCTTTTTAATCAAGGCCCGAAGTAAAGCCAAGAGTGCGATTGACAACTTCAGTTTGTCCATCGCTTTGAGGATGACTAGTGGTGGAAAACAATAACCTAGTGCCAAGTTTGGACCACAAGGTCTTCCAAAAGTAACTTAGGAACTTCACATCCCTGTCACTAACAATAGTCCTAGGCATGCCATGCAGACGGACAATCTCTTTGAAAAATAAAGTAGCAACATGAGATGCATCGTCAGTTTTGTGACAAGGAATAAAATGCGCCATCTTAGAAAATCTATCAACCACAACATAGATGGAGTCATTACCCCTTGGTGATCTAGGCAATCCTAATACAAAGTCCATAGACAAGTCAACCCAGGGATGGTGTGGAATAGGTAATGGGGTATACAAGCCATATGGATTTGTCTTAGACTTTGCCTTGTGGCAAGTAGCACACCTACCAACCATGCGTTCAACATCTCTACGCATATGGGGCCAGTAAAAGTGCTCTTGCAACATGGCCAGAGTCTTGGCGATGCCAAAGTGGCCCATGAGACCACCACTATGTGCCTCTCGGATCAAAAGGTCACGAATGGAAGAATTAGGCACACACAGTTTATCTACATGGAATAGAAATCCATCATGCAAAAAGTACTTTCCATGCGGGTTCTTAACACAAGCAGCATAGATATCACCAAAGTCATGATCATGTGTATAGAGTTCCTTAACCATTTCGAACCCTAGTAACTTGGCATCCAGAAGTGCCAGCAATGAATGTCTACGTGATAATGCATCAGCCACTACATTCGTTTTGCCAGTTTATACTTAATGACATACGAAAAGGTGTCAATGAAGCTTACCCATTTGGCATGTCGCTTGCTTAGCTTGGGCTGTCCCTTGAGGTACTTCAATGACTCGTGATCAGTGTGTATCACGAACTCCCGAGGGCGAAGATAGTGTTGCCAAGTCTCCAAGGCCCTCACTAGTGCGTACAACTCCTTGTCGTACGTGGGGTAGTTTAACGCAGCCCCTCCCAGTTTCTCGCTGAAGAAGGCACACGGCCTCTTGTCTTGCATGAGGACTGCTCCAATACCTACACCAGAAGCATCACAGTCAATTTCAAAGGTCTTGGTAAAGTTTGGTAATGCTAACACAGGTGCATGGGTGAGTGTGTCCTTAAGGGCGAGGAACGCTTGTTCTTGGGATTCCCCCCAGTGGAACTTGTCATCCTTCTTTGTCACGGCGGTCAATGGGGCGGCAATAGTGCTAAAGTTTTGGACAAAACGCCGATAAAAGCCCGCCAATCCAAGAAAGCTGCGCACGTCAGGAACGGATGTAGGGGTTGGCCATTGCTCGATGGCCTCGATCTTGGACTTGTCCACCTTGATGCCCTGCGAACTCACAACATAGCCTAGAAATACAAGCTCGTTAGTACAAAAGGTGCACTTTTTGAGGTTAGCGTACAGACGCGCCTGTCGAAGTGCCTCGAGGACTAATCTTACATGCTCCAGGTGCTCATGCTCACTACGACTGTAGATCAGGATGTCATCAAAGTAAACAATGACAAATTTACCAATAAAATGTCTCAAAACATGGTTCATGAGGCGCATGAAGGTGCTAGGGCGTTAGTCAAGCCAAAAGGCATAACTAACCACTCATAGAGACCATGTTTGGTTTTGAAGGCTGTCTTCCATTCATCGCCTTCCTTCATCCTAATTTGATGATAGCCACTCCTCAAGTCAATCTTGGTGAAAATAATAGCACCATCGAGTTCATCCAACATATCATCAAGTCTAGGAATGGGATGCCGATATTTGACAGTGATAGCGTTTACAGCCCGGCAGTCAGTGCACATGCGCCAAGTGCCATCCTTTTTGGGGACAAGGACCACAGGCACAGCGCAGGGGCTTAGACTCTCCTTCACCCATCCCTTACCTAACAGGCCATCGACTTGCCTTTGAAGCTCCTTGGTCTCCTCGGGCCCATGCGGTAGGCAGGTTTGTTGGGTAACGGTGCTCCAGGAACGAGGTCGATTTGGTGTTCAATGCCCCGAATGGGTGGTAGGCCATCAGGGACCTCGTCAGGGAAAACATCCTCAAATTCCTGCAAGAGAGCCACATGCTCGCAGGCAGCGCCTTGTCGAGTTCAGCAACATCCAAGAGCACATGCTTGCAAATCATGAGTAGTATAGGCTGATTAGAGTTCACCACTTTTCTAACATCCTTAGCCTTAATAATCATGTTATGCTTCCTAGTGGGAGGTGCGGCAGGTGGTTTGTCGCGCATACCCCTAGATGTGCTCCCTTGACCCTTGGTGGGTGGCTCATTCGTAGATGTGGAGCCTTGACCAGGGTCGGCCGCCTTGAGTTTCCTCCTTTGACGGTCTTGTTCACACTCTCTTTGCAACAGTAGTTGGTCCTCATAAACTTGTGCAGGTGTGAGAGGTGTAAGTACCTTACGTTTGCCATCGTGCAAAAGTGTGTACTTATTTGCTCTTCCATCGAATGTGACGTGTTTGTCAAATTGCCAGGGCCGTCCCAAAATGATATGGGTAGCATGCATTGGCACTACGTCGCACACGATTTCATCAATGTAAGTACCAATGGAGAAGGGAATGCGTACTTGTTTGAAGACTCGTACTTCACCGTCCTCACTTAGCCATTGGAGGCGGTAAGGATGTGGATGCCTGGTAGTGGTGAGCCTAGACTTTCAACCATGAGCAAACTGGCCACGTTCGTGCAACTCCCACCGTCGATGATGAGACTACATACTTTGTCGCCTACCTTACAGCGAGTGTAGAATAGGTTTTCGCGTTGTAGCTGCTCATCCTCCTTGACGCGGGCGGTTAGCACGCGCCGTGCTACTAAGCAACCTACTTCTCCTCGTGTAGGTGAGCAAGCCTCCCCAGCTGGCTCTTCTTCTAGGCAGTCATCTCTACTAGCTCGGGCATGTCCTCACATTCGTCATCATCCGACACGATTTCGCCATTGTGAGTTATCAGCATTACCCGTTGGTTTGGACATTGAGATTGAATATGCCCAAACCCTTGGCACTTAAAGCACTTGATGTCCCTACTCCTAGCTTTAGGAGTTTCTTGCGGTGCCTTAGAAGTAGACCTGGACACATCAGAAACCTTGTTAGGTGTAGAGGTACGCATTACGGGTAGAAGCATTACCTTGGAGCGGCTAGAATAGGTTGGTGTGGTCGCATTTCCAACTTCGTGGGTCACCCTTCGTGGTTGATTGCCTTTCCACGAGGTGGTGGTAGAAGATTGGAAAGGACGAGCTCCCCGCCTTAATTTCTTCCCCCGTTCGGCCTTAATGGCAAGTTCTAGAAGGTCGTGCATGTCCAAGTAATGTTGAGCTCCAAGGCATCCTGAAGGTCAGGGTTGAGACCCCTAAGGAACCTAGCCATTGTGGCTTCATTGTCTTCTTGAATGTTGGCCCTCATCATGGCCATCTCGATTTCTTTGTGGTAATCCTCCACACTCATGTTGCCTTGCGTGAGTGTTTGCAGCTTAGAGTGGAGATCACGATTGTAGTAGCTAGGAACAAACCGCTTGCGCATCAGTGCCTTAAGTTCTCGCCAAGTCCGGACACGGGGTTCTCCCATCCTCCTCCTCGTGGTCCTCACTTGGTCCCACCAGACTAGTGCGTAGTCGGTGAACTCCACGGTGGCAACCTTCACCTTTTGTTCCTCGCTATAGTCGTAGCAGTCGAAGACCATCTCGATGCGGCCTTCCCACTCCAAGTAAGCCTCAGGGTCACTTTTGCCTTTGAATGCGGGAACTTGAATTTTAAGCCCCTTGATTTCGTTTTTGGGCATGTCCCTTGTAGGCCTCTCGGGTCGTTCCTCATCCTCACTAGCGGAGTAGTCTTCGCCATTTGTTTCTTTGGTGCCATGGTGACTCCGGTTATGGGACCGCGAACGGAGCCTCGCGTAAGGCTCCTAGACAACTCATCAAAACGAGTGTGTAGTGTCTCCATTTGTTGCTCACTGATTCGCCTGAGCTCATTCTTCATGGCGGCGAATAATAAAGAAGGATCGGTGGTTGCTTGTTGTTGATGGTGGTGTTGTTGCTCCATGCTTCCCTTGTTGCCCCTGCAAGGGTTAGAAGAAACAAAGAAAAATGCAAATATAATCCTCACTTCACTCCCTTAGTATATCCCTCACGCTCGTGTGGAGTGTGCAAATCACTCTATAAAGCTTACCAAGTACCTTACCTGTTGGTTTAGGTAGTTGAGTAATGTTGCTCGAGTCCAGTGATTGGCACCAACGTTTCCCCACAAGAGTACACAAGAAAGGACGGTTTTGGGAAGCTTAAGGTGTTGGACAGATTTTGGAACGTATTGCCAAGAAAGGAAACTCTAAGAATCCTAAGAGGCAGGAGTGGTTTCCTAAAGAGGATGAGAGGATATAGGAGTGTATCCTAAAATGGGGAGAAAGTATAGGAGTATATCCTAATATAGAGGAGAAAATATAGGAGGTGTCCAAGAGTTATCCAAGTATATTACTTAGTTTCCTAAACGAAGTGGGAAACAAGTTGGAGTTTGGAAACTTCCTAATTCTGCTCGGTTCCTCCTCTCTCTTACCCGCAAGCTTCCAGAAATTCCCTCACAAAAACCCACCCCAAGGTCGGTTCAATTCCCACTCACAAACCAGAATTGGAACCCTAAAATTTCCAGAATTCCTCCCTCTTATTCCTTTCCTAAAGTCGGCTACAAGAAACCTTGGAAGGCCTCTTAAGCAGCCGCCCACTATGCTCACAACACAAACCAGAATTGGGCCACTAAATTTTCCAGATTTCTTCCTTCTTGAAACCCTTCCCAAGTCGGTTATCCTTCCTATAAGATTCCCTCTTCACAGCCGCAACTTACCCCAAACAATTCGGCTCTCTCTCTACTCCAAGAACAAGAAATTCGACCCTCTTTCTAACAAGACAGTTTCGGTCCTTGGCACTCCAAAAATTCTGCTCCAATGGACTCCCAAGGTCAAGCAAGTGATGTTACTCAAGAATCTCCCAAGAAATTCACAACTAAGCCAAGAAAGCCTCGTATGGATGCAAGATCTTACAAGAAACT